TTCCATGACTTGCGGGAATTTCGACTGTGTCGTGGGGTGGTCAGACAGCTTGATCCCGGCGTTGGCGCTCTATTAGCGGGTCTGCGGAGGTCCCTTGGGACGTCGTTTCTTCCGTAAATATCTCTTGTTGGGGAGAAATTGCTTGGTCGTTTCGTTGGAATGGCGGGCTTGTTCCTCCATCTTCGCTCTTTCTCGCATCTATCTGAACAGTCTTCTTACCTTCTTCGCTGTGTCATTCTTCGTTTTGGTCATCCTGTCGACTATAAATGTGGTGAGGTCTGGTAGCCTCTTGTAAAATCCTGTCGACTAAATATGTGATGAAGTTCTGTTGACTCTTGTAGAATCCTGTCACTAAAACTGTGGTGAGGTATCCAGTCGACTTAACTATGGTGTAAGTCCCTGTCGACTCTCGCTATACTGTGTTGACCGAGAGGAACAGTCAGGATGGGGAGTTTTCCAGTACCTCCCTGCACCTTGTAAGACCTTTAAAAGTCCTCACAGAGTACAGGCAGTCGTGGTCGAGGCAAAGTGGAAAGCTTGGGAATGCCCATACAAAAAACGAAGAAACAGTTGCACTAGGAAAGTTCCGTGAACAGATAAAGGGTGAGCTAGGAGCGAAAGATGGAGATAGAAGAGTTCTTACTGGTCTACATGGTGGATGAGGAACACCTTGGTGACAACCGACGAGGGCTCACGTTGATGGTGAACTGACTGTGAAGTGACTGTAATTTTTGGCTAGGACGGAGGCTTTATATACCTTTTCTGAGAAAGGAAGTATTGCATTTCAACAGATGCGAAGAGTGTGGAGCGTCTGGTGAAATTCTAAACTGACGCCGTCCTGACAGTTTCCAATCTATCTTTAGAAGTTGTTTTGTGACTTCCATCTATCTCGAATTTAGACGTTTTTGACTTCTATCTCTTGCTTCAGTTCAACTCTTAATCTATTACAGAGTTTTATTTATTTATCCTCAGTTTGTACAAAGTTTTTTTTTTGCTTATCCCTAGTACACGTGGTACAGGCCATGATAATCATGGTGGGTAGTTAGCGACTGCTTTTACTGTAAGCGCACCACATATCTACACATGTGAAAAGCAGTTCGACTTTGCACTTACAAATGCCAGAGCCCCGTTTGGTTACTTGCACTCGCTGGTGGGGCTGGACTTTTGCAAGAATCGGGGGCAATTGGAGCATTTTTTTTTTTTAAACAGAAAAAAGTGCCCAATGCGGGAATCGAAGTACATTACATATTATGATGTAATAGCACATGTCAATAATGCGTATAATCATTTACAGATGTGTTTCTATTATACAACATGAAAATATTGTTATAAGTTATATACAATATGGGGTTGTTGCTTTAAATTACCATATATATTAAAAATATATTCAAATATAATTATTCAAAATATATGATGAATAATATTTTTTTTGAAATTGTTTATATAAAATAGGCGCAGAAAACCTAATGTGTAGATAACAATATACTGTATATATAAATATGAATTCAAGGTAATGCAGTTTGGACTTTCTAGCGCACCCAAATCCTTTGAAAGAATGATGGACAGCCTGATAAAGAGACGAAGGTGGACAATGTGCGTATGCAACTTGGACTTGGGCGTATGCACATCACGTTTACGGTATGTACTGGATTGGTTTCAGAAACTGGTTTGCGACTATGTTACAAAAGGGATGCTTAAGATCAAACCAGATGTAAATTTTGGCACAACAAAGAGGTAAAGAAGGAATCAAACCCGATTACGAATAAATAAAGACAATGTATAGTTGGAATTCCAAGGTCAGACGAAATTATAACAAGTAAAAAGCTTTTGGGCTCATCATCCTATTATCGACGAATTATCAAAACCTTGCTGATATTTCGCGAACACTAAATGAACATTTGTTCGAGGAAGCTAATTCAATTGGAAATTAATCAATAAAAGTCGTTTGAAGCTCTATATTAAGCTGGATCATATCCGAAACCTATACTTGATAAATTTGACTTAAACGCATTTATAGAAGTATACAACGTGACTAGCGGATACAGAATATATAGATGTCATTCTAATTCAAATTCAAAAAATGAAAAAAGGGTAATTGCGTATGCGTATCCCTCACTAATCAAACCCCTCCAAAAAACTATTTGACCACTGAAAGAAAATGTTTGGCAGTCGTATTGGTAATCTGCTAGTTCCGACCCTATCAATTTACACATTTATTCAAATTTTATTATGACTGATCACCATTCCTTACGCTGCAGTTTGTCTTCCCAGTAGTCTTTTAAAAGATGGAATCGATTGTGTGTGAATATATGATGAGTTTATATTTCTAAAAACTTTCTAAAACATCATTGATGAACAGAAAAAGGATTTTTTTATACTTAGGAAAATCTTGATAACCTGGAAAAAAAAGCCGTCCAAAAAGTACAGTTTCAAGGTTGTTAATGGCCTTGTTTAAAAAATAAGTTGAAAACAATCCACTCTAGCTACTGGTAGTCCCAAACAAACTAATATTTGACATAATGAAAAAATTAAATGACGCTCCGACGTCGGTCATTTTGATTTCTTTAAATCTTACGATATTATCATAAATAAATATTTTTGGCCGGGGTTTATCGGAGTGTCAGAATATTTGTGAAATTTTGTCAAGAATGTATTCGTAGGAATAACACCCTGCAACTATAGACTAGACAAATGGTGTTTATTTTGCCCTCAAATAGGCCATTCCAAAAGATAGGCGAAGATATAATTGGACACTTTTCATTATCGCGTGACAAGAAAATATAGCTTAGAGTGTACACCGATTATTTATTCAAATATTCCCTCGCAAACGTCAGCTTTCGCTGCTTTATGGACATCATAAGCTGGCGCTATGTTTCCATTCGATTCAAGAGCTAATTGCATGTCATTATATCTGTTCATGGATTTTTAAGTGCTCTTATCTGAAGTTTTAAAGATATATTTCGAAGGTCTCTATTCCTTTGATTGAAGATTTTAACAATATCCCTGCCTCACATCTATATGTTAGAATAAGCCAGATTAGTGTTTCAATCAGTCCTTGTTTCGTTACACACATTATATTGGTAATTTCCCCATAATACAAGGTATGTCCCATAGGTCCCCGGACTGGGTCCATAAAAAAAGGTGAGATATATATTTTAAAAAATTATTAAACTTTTAAAAGTAATCCCCCTTGCTTCAACGCACCAGCGCCATCGTTTCTCCCAATTGTCGAAACAGTTTTTATGGGCCTCTTTTGGAATGCTCTTCAATGCCAACAGCGATTTTTCTATGATGTCATCCCTGGTGTCAAAATGCCTTCCTTTTAGAACTGCTTTAAGTTTGGGTAACAGAGAATAAGTCATTTGTTGCGATGTCTGGGGAATAGGGTGGTTGAGGTAGGATTTCTGTCCCGTTTTTCGCCAAAGAAAATCGTCACCTAGTGCGCTGGGTGAGGACGGGCATTGTCATGTAGGATCCAGTCACCATTAGTCCATTTTCTGGCCTTTTATTCCCGAATCGCTTCCTTTAGACGGCAAAGAATGCCCAAATACATTTCCTTAATAACTGTTTGGCCTGTGGGAAGATACTCGTGATGAATAATGCCCTTGTTATTCCAAAAAGCTACCAGCAACACCTTGTTTCTGGATTTCAATATCCTGGATTTTTTGGGTCTAGGCTCACCCTGACCTCTCCACTCGGCAGATTGACGCTTGGTTTCAAGGTCATAGCCATAGACCCATGTCTCGTCGCCTGTGATTATCTTGTCTTTCCATTCCGGATCCATTCTTGTCATTTCCAACATGTCCTCACAGTTTGCAAGCCGACTCAGTTTTTTCTCATTAGTGAAGAATCTTGGGATGAATTTTGCAGGGGTCTTTTTGAGCTTCAAATCTTCGGTTACGATCCTTCCAATCGTTTTTTTAGAGATGCCTGTGTCTTGCTCTAGCTCCAGAAAAAGTGGTTCGAGGATTTTCTTTTATGAAATCGGTGATTTTTTGCACATTTTCATCATTCCTTTGAAATTTTGGGCGTCTTTGACGAGGATCATCTTCAATGGAAATTCTGCCAGCTTTAAATCTAGAATGCCATTCAAAAACAGTTGTTCTCTTTAGGGCATCATTAGGGAATGCTTTATTAAGCATTTCAAAAGTTTCGGTTGCTAACATTTGACGTTTCACACAAAGTTATATGCAAATCCACTGCATCAAATTTTGTTCCATCGTAAAATCGCCGCAGCGCTAGGTGTAACCTTTAAATAAATTAGAATGACCTTGGCGCGCGCGCATGTACCGCCTCGATATTGGTACTACCGTGTTGCAAGGTATTTTTTCTATGATAAACAGTCAAATTTAATTACTTTTTTTTTTGATGGACCCAGTCCGGGAACTTATGGGACATACCTTGTATATATTTTTATTCCATAAAGTTTGTTTTATCTTTGCAATTCGATTTTTTTCCCATCCATCAGAGTTTATTTCAGAAGAGGAACTGGGGCTGATGGTTTACAGGGAATGTGCAACCATCCCTCAAGAAAACATCCTTATGCTCATTTAGTCAGTACCAAGACATGTTGCTGCCTGCATAGTCGCCCGACGTAGTCCCACAACATATTGAGTGGATGGCAAGGTCGCTCCATGTATAGGTGTATTCTGTTTAATATATATCATTTATTGTTCTTCACTGACACTTTCTTCATGTATATTTTGATAACGCTTTGTCCACTACTTATTAGTTTCTCAAATTCTCTGTCGCGTAGGGTATATTTGTTAATATACGCACATGATAGAAGATCAATTTCTAACGAGTACACTTCAAAATACAATATAATACACTGCGGCCTGTGATTGTAAAACGACACTTGAAGTTACACCGCATGAGTTGCTTTTAAACGAAAAATTAAAATTTTATTTCAAGGTGAAATATCGACTATTTCTATCCTTTTTGGATGAAGTATGAAAGGGAGAATTATGAAGAGTGAGGATGAACTGAAAAATATAAGTGTCCAGGGATGGGAATCGAACCCACAATGTTCCGCTTTCCGGGCAGATGCCATGTTTCTAGGTTACCCTGGACGTATTTTTCCGTTCGTAAATTATTCCAAAAGTAACTTATAATACAATATAATACACTGCGGCCTGTGATTGTAAAACGACACTTGAAGTTACACCGCATGAGTTTCTTTTAAACGAAAAATGAAGATTTTATTTCAAGGTGAAATATCGACTATTTCTATCATTTTTGGATGAAGTATGAAAGGGTGAATTATGAAGAGCAATAATGAACGGAAAAATAAAAGTGTCCAGGGATGGGAATCGAACCCACAATATTCCGCCTACGGGGCAGATGCCTTGTCCACTAGGCTACCCTGGATGTATTTTCTCGTTCGTAAATGATACATAAAGTAACTTATAATACAATATAATACACTGCGGCCTGTGATTGTAAAACGACACTTGAAGTTACACCGCATGAGTTTCTTTTAAACGAAAAATCAAAATTTTATTTCAAGGTGAAATATCGACTATTTCTATCCTTTTTGGATGAAGTATGAAAGGGTGAATTATGAAGAGTAATGATGAACGGAAAAATAAAAGTGTCCAGGGCACAATCACAAGCCGCAGTGTATTATATTGTATTATAAGTTACTTTATGTATCATTTACGAACGACAAATACGTCCAGGGTAGCCTAGTGGACATGGCATCTGCCCGGTAAGCGGAACATTGTGGGTTAGATTCCCATCCCTGGACACTTTTATTTTTCCGTTCATCATTACCCTTCATAATTCACCCTATCATACTTCATCCTAAAAGGATAGAAATAGTCGATATTTAACCTTGAAATAAAATTTTGATTTTTCGTTAAAAAGAAACTCATGCGGTGTAACTTCAAGTGTCGTTTTACAATCACAGGTCACAGTGTATTATATTGTATTATAAGTTACTTTATGTATCATTTACGAACAGAAAAATACGTCCAGGGTAGCCTAGTGGATATGGCATCTGCCCGGTAAGCGGAACATTGTGGGTTCGATTCCCTTCCCTGGACACTTTTATTTTTTCGTTCATAATTCACCCTTTCATACTTCATCCAAAAAGGATAGAAATAGTCGATATTTCACCTTGAAATAAAATTTGGTTTTTCGTTCAAAAGAAACTCATGCGGTGTAACTTCAAGTGTCGTTTTACAATCACAGGCCGCAGTGTATTATATTGTATTATAAGTTACTTTATTTATCATTTACGAACGGAAAAATACGTCCAGGGTAGCCTAGTGGACATGGCATCTGCCCAGTAAGCGGAACATTGTGGGTTCGATTCCCATCCCTGGACACTTTTATTTTTCCGTTCATCATTACTCTTCATAATTCACCCTTTCATACTTCATCCAAAAAGGATAGAAATAGTCGATATTTCACCTTGAAATAGAATTTTGATTTTTCGTTTAAAAGAAAATCATGCGGTGTAACTTCAAGTGTCGTTTTACACTTCAAAATATTAAATATTTTTTATTCATAATAAGATGAGCGTAATTAAACCTATTAAATATTAAATTCGCCCTTATGTTGTATAACCTTTTCTTCAAAAACGTATTTTAAATTTGGTTAAAAGTAGAAATCAAAATTTGAGATACATTTATAGAATTATTCTGAAGTGTATGTTTAGTTTTATTGTGAACATAGGTGGCAGAAGGCGGCGCGCGGCGGAGAGAGAAAGAAGAGTACGTCATCGCTGACCAATGGGAGGCCATCTGGCTGCGCCACCAGAGGGAGCTCGCCACCTTCTCGAACATTCTTAGCACCGTCGCCACTAAAGAACAAGGCCTTTAAGCTGCGGCTTTAAATCTTTTGTAAATTCTTTAAATATTTATTGTAAAGAAAATTAAAATAAATTCATTTGTAAAGCTTGGGATAATTGCCTGACCAAAGATAAGTACATTTGTGTCTTTAAGCTATTATAAAACTTTCTATTCAATTAAGGCCTAACGAGAACAAATTGTTTTGTAAACAATCATTCTGCTTTTCCTCCTTGCGTATTTGCCAAGTAGGAAACAAAACAGTGTATTTAAATAAGCAAAAAATATATATATATATTTGATATGTGGGTTGCGCGATTTTTTCGGAATAAAAGATAAGCGTCGTTGTGCATGTAGTCAATGAAAATATTGAGTTATTTAAATACTGTTATTTGCTATTACGTTTCAATTTCGGAGCTATATCAGCTTTGACGTAAAATACGAAAGAATACTTAAAGAATTCAGACTTTCTATGCAATACAATTATGTGCCTACTTACACTACCCACACGGGCTTCCGTCGGTTCTTAATTTGTTCTTGGCGAACCCTTTTTTACTGATTATTTCTTGCTTTTATTAGCATTACACAGGTTTATTAGAGAATAAACGTGTATTCCGAATTTTAAAGATCGTGGTTCAATAGGTATGTGTAAAAATAGACGAAACTCATTCAAAACAAAATGATCTGTTCATCTTTGTTGTTGTGTTCATTATATTTATGTAGGGTTGACTAGGCGTGGTTATGAAAAGGTAAAGCAAAGTTCGTTGTTGACAGTACCTAGTGGTAGACACACTATTGTAGAGATGTGCACCAGACTGTGAACATAATCATACTGAACTTCTTAGCCATTGATAGACTGTTGATTTCTAGTTGTTTCTTGTGATAACAATGCAATATAAATTGAGATATTAAATAATCGTCGCCACACATTAATTTATTTTGGGTGTGTAATTTTGTAAGTGTGTGTTGTGTGTAACACGTTTTTTCTTTTTCATTCTATATTCTTAAAAAAATATTAAGTCGGTTTCACACCTATCACTTAATTTCATGTTTTTCACTTGTTTGGATTGTTTATTGGACTGTGTGAGTGTTAAAAGTTTGATACTTCTATGTCATCTAATAGTATATTAAAATTTATTAACAAAATATGAAAGGAAATTTGGAAATATTTCCATCTGCGGCCACATTGACAACCACAGAGGCCTGAAAATTTGTCAACTTGCATTGTCATGGGGTTCTAAAAGTGTACCAAATTTCAGATTCCTACTAGCTCTAGAAGTATATTAAATATATATTACAAGATTTATGGACAGAAAGGTAAGCAAGTTAAATAAATGCCTTTAATAAGGTATCAGTAATGAATAAATGTGGCGTGTTTATATCTTATTATTTATAACATATATATTTCAAAGGTATTTTGACAAAATTTCTTACAGTAGGGAGGGAAGAATTGAAGCAATCCTTTATTTTCATAAAACAAAATTGAAAAAAACATGAACAAAAAGTTGAACCATTAACATTTTTACATTGAAATTGGATAACAGCGTTTTTTATTTCAATTTATTCCACATCTTAAACTTTAGGCTCTACTAAGACAATTGATCTAGAATATTTATAGAGATATCTGAAGAGAGCTAGTTCAAATATATTCATTATGGCAAACATAGGAACTCCAAGCCATATTCCCATGAACCCCCCGTAGTAGCTGAAGATCTCCAGAATCTGAAAAACAATATAAAATTAAATTTACACGACATTCACATATAATAAAATTCTAATAATATTTAAATATTTATAGTATGCATGCGTGTGCCAAATATATAGCAGTTGTAAATTTAATAAATAAAATTATAATGCGCGAATAAAGAATTTTCGATCTTTAAACCATTCTTATAAAATGGCATTCAATCAATTACAAAGATTTCAAAAAACACCTATTTCTGGAATGATCAATATTTCGGGGTTATAGGGAAAGAAAATTTGGTAGCATTGGACAGCTACATGAATTCGTAAATGAGAAAAGAACATATAAAAATGTTAATCAATTTTGTAGATATATATACAACTATCTTTTGAACTGGGAAAGAGAGGGAAGGAAATTTTGAGGAATTGCTTTTATATGTTTGTCTTTTTTCTTCTTGACCTTTCTCCTTGTATATAGCCAATTTGTTATGATGTGAAGAAATATATTGAGGCAAATATCTCTGAGTTTGGGATATAGCGTTATAGGATGTTAATAAAGTTAATGTTTAGATATTTATAGCATGCATTTTTTGTGCGAATTTTAAATAAAATTATAATGCGTGAATTAATAATTTTTTATCTTTATATCCATACTTATTAAAGATTCTGGCAGTCAATCAATTACAAAGATATCAAAAAAGATATATAACATATGAGATTGATATATATATGTTGCTTTCAGGTGAATCATTCCTAAGACTGTTGTGCCTCCTCTTATAAGAACCTTCTAAGAGATCAATTGAAGACCTTATTTATAGGTAAGATTTTGCTTTGAAATAGTTGGTTGACTCTTTAAAGATTTATATGAGAAAACTAATGCGTTATTTTCCCCTTGCTTCCAATATCTATATGAATTTGATCGACTAATAAAGTTCTATCCTCTTTAGAAATCGTTTTCACCTTCAAAACAAAGTTCCGTTCAATGATGTATTTTTTTTTTATCGAAACAGCTTTTGCAAGATTTTGTGATTCACATTCAATGTTATTTTAAATTATTTTTAAATCTATTTCAAAATTTTATTTTTATTTATTAATTATTATAAATGAAATCAACATTTTTTTAATTATTAAAAATTTGGTTACCTTTTAATCGTAACTTGTAAAAAAAAATTTTAATCTTCGATAGATTTTAATGGTTAAAATAGAGAAAAATTGTTATTTATTAGTATCAACTTATTCGAACTACGTAATTTAAAACTATTTAAAAAAATTTAATTATAGTGGTAAAAATGAAATATCGTGTTTTACTTAAACGATATTTTATTTTTGAATCTATATTTATAATTATATATATTAAATATTGGTACAAATAAGGTGAAACAAAAAAAAATATGCATATTTTTTCGCTTAAATTCTATCTCTAATAATTTTAATATATATTTCTTACTTTCTATACTTTCTATATTTACATATTTAAAAATATGTAATGGATGAGAATAAAAAGTTGCCACCTCGGCAGGCCTCAGGCGAGCTGCGTCATTGCTTTTTTTTTTTTTATAGAACCAAAAGAGAAATAATCTTCGCTTTTTATTGAT